ATTTGTTATATTATGTATGCATATGTCTGTGTGTCTGTGTGTATGTAGTTGTTCATATCAAAACGGGCTATTTTTATAAGCCCAAGCTCTCACGATTTGACTGTGACGCATTAACTGACTCCACAGCTCAGTCGAGCGCGCGCCCTCTCGCGCTCTCTCTGTTTATCATTATCTTTAGCTCGCTCTCGCTCATTATCTTGCTCTCTCTCTCTCTTTGCGGCCGGCGTCGCTGCCAGCGTTAAACGTTTACAAACGTTGACCGGCGCGTATAAAAGATGCCAGCCGGAAAGCGTTCAACATCAGTTAGAAGCTTGGAGCTTTGTGGGTCACTCAAAGAGCGATAGCAAGAGAGAGAGAGAGAGAGAGAGAGAGAGAGAGAGAGCAATAGAGAGAACAATAGATAGAGCTAGGAAGACAACACAGGAGAGCAGAGCTATTGGTATTGCAATTCAAACACATCAACAAGGATAAGCGAAGCATATTTGCCCAACATGGCTGAGGAAGCTAAACGCAATGAGCAGCTGCAGGACGCTCAGGAGGTCATCGATTGTGACATTGAGCTCGAGAAGGAGCAGCCGGAATCCACGCAGCGGCCCGTGCTGCCCAAGAGTAACAAGCTCATCAAGAAGGCTCTGAAGAAGGCGCACAAGGCGCAGAGCATGCTGTTTGAGGCTATGGAACAGCTGACCGAAGCGCAGGCTAATTATGAGGCGCAGTGCATGCTGCAGGCGGTGATGGAGCTGCATGCTAAGGATGAAAAGCGTCAGTCCAAGCGGGCCAAGAAACCCGAGAAGAAGCAAGCCAAGAAGCAAGCCAAGCAGCAGCAGAAGGAGCAGCCGAACCAGAGCCAGGATCCGAACGAGGAGAAACGCGACCGCAGCAACAGTGTCAGCTCCACATCCTCGAGCTCTTCGAGCTCCTCGAGCTCCTCCAGCTCATCGAGCAGCTCGAGCTCCAGCTCGGAGCAGGACTTTGGCCACGGACTCTTTGGCTGGCCTGGACGACACGGCCATCGTCATCATGGACGACGCGAGCGTTCCAGGTCGCCATCGCACTGGCGCAAGCATGGCCACCATGGCCATAGGCACGGCCACGGTCCGCACCATGGTCATGCTCATGGTCCGCACCGCGGTCCTCATCACGGACCCCATCACTTTGGACCCCATCACTTTGGACCCCATCACTTCGGACCCCATCACTTCGGACCCCATCACTTTGGACCGCACAATTTAATGGCCCGAGGCGGTGGCTTCGGTGGCAACCCTTGGCCAATAATGGAGAAGCAGTTTTTTCGGGGCAGCGGCCTGCCGTGGGCCTTGGATGCGAGCACGGCTTGGCCGAGGAGCCGATCGACATCTAGCTCGCGCTCCATTTCACCTGGCAAATCGGGTGCCCGACAGAGCAGGGCAGACAAACGGGGCAAGCGCCGTCAGGGACACGGACACAGACACGGAGATGGCCGCAAGGGTGGTCACCATGAGCGTCGAGTGAGTCGCTCCAGCTCGAGCTCCAGCTCTAGTTCCAGTTCCAGCTCCAGTTCCAGTTCTAGTTCCAGTTCCAGTTCCAGTTCCAGCTCTAGCTCTAGCTCTGCTAGTGAAAAGAAGCAGAAACGTCAAGGATACGGCCACCGTCGCGGTCCTCATGGACCACATCGGAAAGAATTCGACCTCGAGCTTATTGACCTCGAACAGCTTTTCCGTTCAGATTCGCCGTGCCGTGAGAAGTCCAAGAAGCACGGCAAGCACTGCAACGACAAGGGCAAGGGAAAGGGCAGAGGCAATGGAAAGTGCAAGGGAAAGGGCAAAGGAAAGGGCAAGGGCAAGGGTAAGAACAAGTGAACTGACAAGCAATGAAATGGTTGGCCTGACGCACTGCCTCCGACTCCACTGATTCCCAACGATATCTACTGAAAAACTGCCGCATTACGACCTTATTTTTCACACATTTCGCGTATATCAACAATATATATATCTTCAATAAAACGAAAAAATTATATTTAANTATGTATAAATATGTATATCTTTATACATACTTTTCACAGCAAATTTTAAATCAATTTTCAGTTTTTGCTGAGCCCCAGGCTGAATAGACAATTATTTATCTAAAATAGTTTTATGCTTATTAAGCTCCAAAATAATCCACTTAATCACGCAATTTGCATTCTGCATTTGCCAACCCAAAGTATTTCAAGCTTTGACCATACTTTTATATAGTATGCCACATTAAATAATTATTTCATTTCATTTTAAAACACACAAAATTTAAATATGGAATATTTATGAAATAGAGTGATTTAGGCAGAGAGAATCGTTTAAGTTTTGAGAATCGAACATTTCCAATTTCTCCAATTTCTTATTTTTTCAGATATTTGAGGAATCTTACAAATTTTAAAAAGAAAAATTAAATAATTTGAATTCTCATATATCAATTAAATAATTGTTGTCATTAACATTAAGATATATCTAACAGGCTCTAATGCAGTTTTTCAGATCTAAACTTATGCTTAGTATTTACTGCTAACTTAAGTCCCATTTTAAATTCTTTTTAGTTCACATTTAGTAAAACAATTTCTGTTCATCTTAAGAATATATTACAAGTTTCTGAGATTCGAAACGGAAATAAGACAAATGTTACAATCGGGTGTTACCGACTGAAGAATGCTCATTCACAGCACAAACGTTGTCGGAGGATGTCTTTAGAGGACATAACCAGTAACTCAGTTTACCTTAAATAGCTTCTAAGATACTGGAAAATGAATTTTTTGATGTGCCAATGTCGAAATGGTTTGCGGACGGTTACCCAGCATAAAACCAATACGCTCATTTCACTTAAGTGAAAGAGCATAATAATCGCTTTAAATTGTGTAATGTGTTATTAGTATTAGTAATATTTCATTTGTATTAGAACTTATCGATAAGTACTTAATTACAGTGGCAAAAGCCCATTCACATATTTGCTGAGTGTCCTGTTTAAATCAAATGACGACTAGCTGTGATTACAGACCTTTGTTATAGCACATAATAATGGAAAATAGAGCAAACTCAATTACGCATTGCTTTGCATTGTAATTTGAGTGTTTTGTCAAATAGATAGATAAGAGCTAAAGCAGCGAGGGGAGTCCCGAACTATAAATACTCTAACAATAACATCAATCGTTTTGAGTATATAAGTAACATGAATGGGCTTATGTACATTCATTAATATCATGTCAATAATTTATATGAATATATACTTTAAAAAGACATTCGTAATATCATTCCCATCGAGTGCTATCACACTCTGAGTAAACACAATACATGAGCTGGCGCTTGCTTTCGTTATCGCAAACGGGAAACGGGCTTTTCCCAAATACCATGATAAATCGCAGAAAAACACATTCGATAAGTCGAAATCAATCGCTGAGTTGCTTTAGTTGTATATTTGTATACCCTCTACACACCCATTGCACAATGTGCATTGTTCAGATCGACTTGATGTTGGAGGGGCATAGGCATACCCAAGTGTTCCCAGAGGGGAAAACTGTACTCAACTGTGCTGCCTAGTCGACATAGCAAGTCACCTAACTGAGTAGAAAGTGGATTGTAATAGAGAGTATATAATAAATATATAT